AAATTGACACATTTGGACTTATCCGGTTCAGCGATTGAAAGACCTGATATTTTCGCGAGTATTTTGAGGAGATGTACAAAACTTGAGGTTGGAATTGTCGATATGAATTTCAATTTAAATTCCGAATTTTTGATTTATCAAATCTGATTTTTCAATTTTCTATTTCTTTTCGATTTATGAAGAGGAAGAAATTCATTCTGTGCTTTCATAGAATATTCCTGTTCAAGATGTATTATTCCTTATCAGTTGGAATTTTTTGCAGGCATTATTTTTAGAAAGGTGGAATTTCTTTCTTACAGATAACTGGAATATTTCTGGTGTTCTATAGGTGTGTTCGCAGATAAATAGATTATTTCTTCCAGAGATATATTTGTGATTTTTTAGGGTGTGAGTCTGGAGCATCGTCGAATAAACGATGATGTTTGTGCGGCGTTGAGTCGAAATGAAGAACTACGATATCTGGCTCTTACGATGTGTGAGGGATTAACGCATAATGGATTAAAAACCATTTTACAAGGTTGCCGCAGGTATCATTCTGGGATTATATCTAGCATTTTCCATTCTTCATTCTTACGAAAATGATTCTCTCGATTTGCATTTTCCATAAATCCTGGATTGATACACTAGAAAATTTTTTGTACTCGTTTTGAGTGTTTTCATTGCCAGATTACTGGAGCTGAATCTGGCGTGGACTAGCTTGGCTGAGAATCACGTGGCCGTTGCGCTCGAGCTAATGCCTCGCGGTTTGAAACGTTTGAATCTGTCTGGGATTCGTGAGGCGGACGCCTTAATCGATGAGGGTTCGTTCGTTTATGGTGCATCACATCTTTATTTGAAATAGCTTCGTTTCAGCGATAGTTTTATATGAGCTAGTTGAATGAAACCGTGAATTTTTTGTGATCCTTTACTCGGATGTAGCGGAATTATCGAATGGCTCATTTTCCGGTTGTTTCTCAATATTGCAGATACATGTGAAGAAGCATTAGATAAGTTGAATTAGTCGTACAAAAATGAACAAAATTTGCGACTTATTGTGAATAAATATGAATTTATCTACATAATACACGTTCTTCAATTG